ATTTGCTTACTTTATTATTTCCAGAGCTTCATATGGATATTAAGGGTATTGACTACCTTATTACTACGGCTTATGCAATATCCTGTAAAAAAAAAGGTGGATACAAGTCTTCCTATTTGAGTGGTCACCCGGTTTAAAATCGTGGATCTCGAGGAACACACGAATTCATTCGACCAATCAAAAACGTGGAACTAGTTCGAGAGTCTCGTTCAGGTGGCGCGTCGACGCGCCAAAACACAGCTCCAGATTATCACGCGTAGTATTACTATATATACACGACCAATCAAAAACGTGGAACTAGTTCGAGAGTCTCGTTCAGGTGGCGCGTCGACGCGCCAAAACACAGCTCCAGATTATCACGCGTAGTATTACTATATATACACGACCAATCAAAAACGTGGAACTGCTTCGAGGGCCCTCCGCTAAGGTGGCGCGCCGAAACCAAAGAAAAATTGCCATCACCAAAAACAGGCTCATTGGCAATCTCCCTACTCATCTCTGGTGTTAGTACCTGCTGGTACCGCGTTACTGTTTTCTTACCAGTAATCTGGCTATATCTGTCTACTATCAACGATTCAAGTAACGTAATTAATTAATAATTCTCTATACGATATATTATAATTACTGCAAAAAGTAAGAAATATGAAACAGTATATTCTATGAAAGTGTGGTATAGGTTATAATTTTTATTTTGTATTCTATTGAAATTTGTGTTATATTATTGTACCAATCATAATTATTAATTGGTTTTTTAAGTACTTAACGTAACTTTCGTTCTAATAATCAATTTTGATTATTTTATAGATAAATTGATATTTTTTCTTTGTACAGGCTCAATAATTATTTATATAGCAGGTAGATGAGTTCAATTTATTTATTTTTTTTGACAGTGTGTAGAATGCAAGCTTTAACAAATGACACATGGAATTCTATAAAAATTTGGAAATATATGCTAAAATAGAAAAATATAATATAATTCATTGCAAAACCAGGCACGTGCATACTTTGTAAGGAAAATTTCATGGAGAGCCATTTGTGGCTTGTTAGAGACTTCATTGATTTTCTCTTGTCAAAAAACCACATTGAATTTATTGACCGAATACATGTAATCCAGTATATTTATTTACATCGATAAGAAAAATGTTCAAATATGTGAACAGTATACCAAATGATTATTTTTAAACATTCTTTTTTTTTCAGAGTTCTTAGATATATATATTGACAATGGATGCAGATTTATACGATGAATTTGGGAATTATATTGGACCAGACTTAGCTTCTGAAAGTGAAGATGAAAATGAGTATAGGAATGCAGGAGAGGATGGTGAAGATCGAGATCGCTCAGATGAAGAAATGGAGGAGGATAAGGATGAGTCTCGAGACCATCCCGAACAAGCCAATATGACTGTTGTCTTGCATGAGGACAAACGATATTATCCAAGTGCATTGGAGGTCTATGGTCCTGATGTGAGTATTAAGGAATTTTCACAGCTTTATTGGATGAGTTATACAAGTTTTACTTAGATATTTTTATCAGGCTCTTCATTAGTTAAATTTTTCACTAGGAACAATTTAGACCAATGAGAAGTCAAATTTTTCAAGCTTTCCAAGTAGTATGATTAGCCTGACAAAACTGTGAAGACCTTTCTTATTCAACTACTTTAGTAAGGACAGATTGAAATTTTCTTTAGCTACACACTAATAACAAATTATGAGTATATATTGAAAAATTATTTATTAAAAGACTATGGTGGTTGAAACATTTAAATATCTTTGATCCAACAGGTTGAGACTCTCGTCCAAGAGGAAGATGCCCAGCCTTTGGATAAACCTCTGATTGCTGCAACGAGGAAACCAAAATTTCAGATAAAACAGCAGCAACTTCCAGATACAACATACAGCATTGAATTTTTGTCCGATATGATGGACGCTCCACATTTAATTCGAAACATTGTGCTTCTTGGCCACCTTCATCATGGAAAAACGACACTCGTAGATTGCCTTGTCCGGCAAACACATCCTTACATGCATAGTGTCACAGATGAGAAACCTCTCAGGTATTTTGTTACAAATTTATGTACTATGACATAAAATTATAAAGGATGGGCTTACTGCAAAGAATATTCCACAGACAAGCTTACATTTAAAATTAAATAATTTTGTTAGTAATTCCATCTTATTTAAGCTAGTGTCTTAAAGTAACTGTGTGCTCCTATATTTGTAGTACATATACTAAAAGATATTTAGCAAATACAAGGTAATAGGTTTGTTACTAAACATGGTCTTATATTATCACATTTTCGCGCATGCATTTCTTATGATAAAAATGAACATTGCATATACTATGTAAGAATTGCACGTGTCGAGCATGTAAATATCTTATTACTCAATCTAATTATGGAAGTTGATCATTTCAATCTAACTTGCGAGCGAAAGGAATATAGATGACATTGAATGTGCATTGCTTAAAAAAAGTCAGTTCAAAGTAGATTAGAGATAAAATGTGTCTTCCTATTATTGTAGGAAAGATAAAGTTAGGATATTTTCCTTTATTAAGTGAATTGAACGGAGACAAATTTGCAATAGTCGAGATAACGATTTTTCAGAAGAATAGAAACGGAAAACACTTCTTTCGTAAAACGTCTCACCGGGTTCTCGTAAAGAACAAAACACGCTCTCTCTCTCTCTCTCTCTCTCTCTCTCTCTCTCTCTCTCTCTCTCTCTCTCTCTCTCTCCCTCTCTCTCTCTCTCTCTCTCTC